GGAACGGTTGGTGAAAGGGCTGGAGGGAGGCAGCATGTCTGGCCTGGCAGGAATAGGCCTTGGGCTATTGATAGTGATTCTGTCTTCCTCTTGTGGGATTAGAGGAGGTCAGAACATGTGGTCTCCTTGCCCTTTTTGCACAGACTAACCACATAGACTAGAAATATTAGAAAAATTAAGAAAAAGTTAAGTGTGTCATGAATGCATAAAATATATGTAGATATTACTCTATTTTATAATTTACTACCATAAAATACACACAAATCTATTATAAAGAGTTAAAATTTATCAAAATTTTCACACACATTTACAGACAGTACATGAAGCCATCCATAGTCAAGAAATATAAACAAATGTGAAGTTGCAGTATTGAGTTATAACCACATAAAATTAACTGTAATACACACTGTCCTCCTGTAGCAATTCATAGCCACCCCCTGTTGCTATTGTGGTAAATTCAAATGTTGCTAAACTCACTGCCATTGAGGCAAACTCAACTCATAGCAACCCCTCCTTGGGTTTCTGAGGCAGTATCACTAGATTGCAATAGGTAGTGGATCATAAACCTTCCTTCTGAGGAGTGGCTGGTAGGTTTGAGGCGCCAGCCTTCTGGTTATTAGTAAAATGCCTTAGGCACTATGCTACCAGAGCTCCCCAAATGTTGCTAGTATCTGCTTAAAACACATATGACCCTAATCATGTCCACTTGAGCTGTTTGTCTCTCCAGTAAATTGTGTATCATAGTAAAAAGTGACCTCGAAGAATATTATGATGAGTGAAATAAGTAAAAAACAGAAGGATAAATATTGTATGAGTCCATTATTATAAAAAGGCAAGGAAAGGTTTACATAGGGAAGGAAATTTTCTTTGTTGGTTATCAGGGATGGGAAGGGAGGGGAAAAGAGGAAAAAAATTAGTTCAGAGATAGGTATGATATAGGTGAAGGAAAAAAACAGTATAACAAAAGTGTATGACTAGTGCAATATCACCAAGGAAAAGAAAGCATAAGG